TTGTAGGAGATATGTTTTTCCATGCAAGTAAAGTGGTGAAAAAGGATTAAAATTTGTTAAACAGCTTTGCCTTAAAAGGCAAAAAGAACTTTCAAAAGCCAAGCCAGTTAAAAGCAAATAAATCTCCTCAAATAGATTATGGTCTTTTCCATCCTCTAACTACAGAACTCAGCATGAACACGCTCAGGTGTATCGATTTTCATCCAAAGTTGTGCCAAACCTCCTCGAGAATCAAGCCTCAAATATTTCGTTCTTTTATATCTCGTTTCAAGAGAGGGCTTATAACTTTTCTGTGCAGGAAGTGAGATGCGTTTAGAACTTGGTGGATTGGTAATGATCTGGAAAGTTGCACCAATTCATCCAGCAAACAAATAGGAACTTTTATAAAAAAAGGTGCCAGTTTGGGCTTTTGGGACGATGGCTCCATCTTTTGAGATGGGGAACGCGTACTTTGACGATCTCTTGCCGGACATATACTCCATGGTCGTCGAAAGGATTGGAGGCTATGCGTGCGTCGTGGAAAGGATAGAATGCAGACAGGAGCTTTAAAGATTGCCAGGGTCCAAGGATCTCTGGTGATTTCCTGGAGAGGAGGGGTGTGCCAAAAAAACGCTTGATCATGGACAGGGAAGCCAGCTCAAAGGTTATGACTATGCTTTTATTTTATTATACTTTACGAGATTCATTTTGTTGTTCAAAAGCGATTAGATTGCCTGCTTTGAAATTATATGTTTTTTTTTAATCTTTGTATAAGAGTGGCAATGGAGAAACTCTCTCCTCATTCTTCCGAACACATTTGTTATGGCTCTTGGAAGCTGGCGATGGAGCCTGTGCGAGCGGGGGTGGCGGGAGAGGAGAAGCCTGCGATGAGTGGTGGTGGTGGTGGTGGTGATGATGATGATGAACCGCCGCAGACAACGATTGATGCTGAGTTCCCTGCTGCTGCTGCTGCTGATGGATCTGGATCTGCGGCGGCCTGGACAGTGGAGCCGAGTAAGAAACGCTGCCAGCGGCGAGCTTGGTGCAAGGAGCCGGCGATGGCGACAAGGTGGAGGACGCTAGAGGCGGAGGAGGAAGCTTGTGGAGCTCGCTGACTCGAGGTGGCGACGCAGCGGTGGGAGAGACCGTCGGGGACATCTTTGGAGTTGGAGTGAGAGGCCCGGATTTGTACAAGGGGTCGACTGGAAGCGTCACGCACGGAGGCGGCGGCTGGGTGAGAGGGCCGCTCCTGGGGATGAGCCTCCTCGGCTTGGACGATGCGGTGGAAGCCAGAGGACCCGATTGGAAGCGACGAGGAAAGCTTGGGAACGTACTTAGCTTCTTGTGCTGCTGCTGCTGCTGCTGCTGCTGCTGGTGAGGCGAGGGACGAGGAGCTTTGGAGAGATCCGGGCTTGGTATCCACGATGGCGATGGAGATCCCGTTGGCTCTGTGACCGAGTACATCGCCGGTGCTGTGGAGTGTGGTTGTGTGTTGGGAGCTGCCGAAGAAGTTTGTGTTGGCCTGTAGAGATGTAAGACGCCTGGATCGCGGCTGCCTTTCCTCCGCAGCCATGAGTTTGTTCTCGAGAAGATCGGCGCCTTCTTGTTGGACACCCCGTCCAGCATGACTTCGTGGATGCTATTTACACCGTTTGCCTCTGCGAATCTAACCGGGGAGAGTGGAGCCGATCTGCTGCCCGTGTGTGTCTCATACGCAATGCTATAGTGCTTTGGACTGGTCTCCTCCTGCAGCAAAGTTTGACAGTTAAACAAAAAGAAAACCAGCTGTTGCACTAAACTTCAAAAAAAGAGTCATGGGAAGAGTCTTACTTGCTCTAAAGAACTCGACTGGTCGGACTCTTCGGTAGCATCCTTGGTCTTAAAGAATGCATCATTCTCCCCTCCATCCAGATAGTCCAACGAGGTATCTAGATTACGTTCTTGCACTATCCGACTTATGCAAGGGTCGGCATCGTCTAGGCAACCAAGGCCTTGTCTAAACAAGTGCATCTGCCAACAATATCACGGTTAGCACGCTGGTAGACGTTTTCTTGCATGAGAAGTAAACCTGAGCTGAGTGATGCCGAGCAGCTTGCGTGAGAAGGTGTCGAGGACGACTTTGCTCCAGGGAGTGAAGACGGCATCCCAGAAACATGGCCAGCTCGTCAAATTGCTCCTTGGACTCTTGCAGTTGTTGCTCAATCTGCGCTTCGGCTTTCACATTCTTGGCTCTGGATTTTCGTAGCCTCATGTGATCGTACAAAATCCTGCGCCACCAATTCGTAAGAACAGCTACATTAATTTACAGGGACTTGCTAGCTACCTCTTTTCGTCGTATTCTTTCTTCGTTTCCTAAGAAAAGGAGAGGTACGTTTCCAGCTTAAACAAGAAAATCTTGATTACCGAGCATACCTCAATGTGGCCGAGCTCGCTGAGCAAGCCTTCCGCTGGCACCTTCAGCGTTTCAGAGACGTGGAAAGCCTGGAGAGCTCTACAATCAGAAAGTCGCAACAATTAAAGCCACAACTCACATAAAGATGGAGAAGCCTTGATAGCTCAGACTGTGTCTTGCTGACTTCCTTGAAAGCTGTATCTGCGCACGAAAAAAGATCTTGGAAGCTCAAAACCACGCATTATAAGCCGAGCTTACTGATATCTCCGTTGTTGTCCAGAGCAAAGGACTCCACCAGAAATGCAGCCATCTCTTGGATGGCTTCGGAAAAGCCTGGATCAATGCAAAACAGTCACGCCTGTCCACACGAAGAAAAATAAATTCCAGTCTCTGACCATAAGCGCGACCCGCGACACGAGAAGAAACCGCGTGTAGCCCTTCGTACTGATTCTTCATGTAGCAAACATCCTGAGCAAGAAATCGCAAAGAACACCCAAGAATGAGGCGAATTTCAGCTCCACAAGAATGCCAGACTCTCCACAAACCTGCATGCCCCTCGTGATCTCCTCGATATCCTGTGTCGGCTCCAGAGCCGCCGCCGGCGACGATTTCTCCTTGAATCGAGCGAGCTCCTTGATCTTCTTCCATGACTTCATCTCTAGCACGCCACACAGCGTTGCTGATTCGAGAAATACCCCCCTGGAACACTACATTTCACGAGCCGGCCGTGCGGATCGAGCGCCGGACGCTTTCACGCGGTCGCATCAAAGATCCCGCGACGAATGGAGCGGCTCCATGTCGCGCTCACGCATTCTTCCGCCATAGCTCAGCACTAAAGGAGAGAGACTACCCTAAAATTCCTAAAACCCCCTCTCGCTAACCTTGCTTTGTTAAGCCCTAAAAACGCGGGGTCTTACGCTAAGTCAGGTCAAAGCCCCGGAACCTACGCGGTCAAAAGCGGCACGTCAGCTAATATGTTTTGCCGTGCATTGTTGGTCAAACCGAAACTTTATCTGTAAAACTGTCCCAGCCACTTGGCGGGACAGGACTCATCCATGTGGCGTGCCAGATAAGCCCTATTCTCGGCACCGTTGGATCAAATCTGGTGACTAGGGCCCTCGCGAATTTAGGGCTCCAGGAGAGAAAGAACACGAAAGAGAAGATCGCTCGTCTCGCTGCAACGGGCTTCTTCGGGCAGCAACGTTGATAGAATCTTGCGAAGGAAGCCCAGGTTTGTGATGCGCGATGTGATTTGGATGGATTTAAGCGGAGTTTTCTTGCGATTCTTGTAGAGCAATGGACCGCTATGAGCGAGTGGAGAAGCCACGCAATGAGACCCCAATCAGTGAGAATGAGATCCGGATTACCACGCAGGGGAAAATGCGCAACTACATTACCTATGCGATTAGCCTGATACAGGTGAAAAGAAGGAAGAATCGCTGGTTTTTTCAAAATTTTTTCCCTTGTCTTTTGAGCATTGCAGGATAAAGGCTCCGAGGAGATTGTGCTCAAAGCAATGGGACGAGCAATCAACAAAACAGTGGCGATTGTCGAGATTGTCAAGGTGGGAGTTCTTCTTTTTTCCTCTTTCTTTTTGTTTTTGCTCGAGGTTTTTGAGCTGAAAACTCCCTGTTCTTGCAGAGAAGGATTGCTGGCCTGCATCAAATCACCACGATTGGGTCGACTGATATCACGGACTCGTGGAAGCCACTCGAGGAAGGACTTGTTCCGTGAGTATATCATGCATCGCTTCTCCTCTTTCTTTTTAACTTGGCTTGCATTCTCACCAGGCTGGAAACGACACGGCACGTATCGCTTATCTCCATTACCCTGTCAACGAAAGAGCTAGACAAGGATTCCACAGGGTATGTAAGCTCAAGCTCTCTCTCCTACTTTCCTTCTTCTCTCTTCAGGATTTTCACACTTCCATTACAGGTATCAAGCGCCTCTCCCACCTGACCAGGTGAAACAGTCGGGAGAATTCGACTACGATGGAGGAGGTATGTTTCAACTTCACTGGCTTCACTTTAGAACCTCTTGTTCTCTCGAGCAGAGATTTCACCACAGGGCGGCGGCCGCGGCCGAGGCCGTGGCGGCGGCGGCGGTCGAGGGAGAGGAGGTGCGTATTCTTCTCACTTTTTTTCCATTCTCTGTGAGAGTCACTTAGCAAAAGGCTTTTGGTTTTACTTTTTCGTCGCTCGTTTTCATAGACTCTCTTCGTTTTCTCAAAGCCTAGAAAGCTACGTCCTTATAGCTTTGATCCAGACCAAGTTGCTGATAAAAATCTCTCTTTTTGTCCTTTTCTCCAGTGTTTGTAGGCAACAATCCAGCGGCTGGACGTATCCAAGGCCGAGGCCGGGGCCGTGGAGGCCGAGGTCGAGGCCGAGGTGGTGGAGAGGGAGGAGGGGAGACATCATACCAAGAAGGCCCTCACACCGAAGAGACCGGAGGAGAGGCTGTCCGAGGACGAGGTACTCTTAAAAACGTTGATAACTTATCTTTGATCACTTGGTTTCTATGCACAGGACGTGGGCGTGGCCGTGGACGAGGCCGAGGCCGCGCGGGCGTTGCTTGATATCTCCTTAGTGGTCCCCTCTACAGTAGAAGTCCTTTTGAAAATTTTTGGCGAATTCTTTTTGTACACTCGAAATCACTGGTAGGCTTCCGCTAGGCTTCCGCTTTTGTTTTGTTCCTGTTCGTTTGTCTCTACAAACAATGGTTTTGTAGCGTGAGAATCCGAAAGTGTTTGTAGCTTTGCACGGACCTTTGACGAAAGCTCCTCTAAGAAGCCGCTTTCTAGATGTGTCAGCTGAGCAGTCAAGTGCCGCTTCTCGCGCTCCAGTGCCTCTCTAATGGACGAAAGCTGCTTGAGGCCGTGCTGCTGGATAAGCCTCAGAGGAAGCTCTAGAATTTCCTGGAGTGAAAACAAAGTCAAAGGGACGATAGAAAAATCTCGAAGTGACTGACCTCGTCTTCCTGGCCCCGTGCAATCGCATTCGCACTGGCAAGGATAATCGCTGCGATGACAGTGACGGGCGAGATTCCTTTAACTTGCAGCTCGGGGAATGCCGACTCCACCTCTTCAAAGTCAAGCCGCGGTGTTTGTTCCGTTTCAAACCTGTGGAGCACCAACTTTGTGTCTAGCAGCTCGCACACGTCCATTCTTAGCTTCCTCCATAAATCCACCAGCGACCAAGCGTCGTCCGTGGTGGTGGCCGCTGCCAACTCGCTCTCCCATTCAACGTCGGACATTCCACCGGCTGAATTTAGCAGCAAGTTCTGACGAAAGTCATGTAACAGTACTCCAAGGTCCTGTTTGTTTGTTTTATCAATCCGTCAGTCCCAGAGTAGCTGTAGCAAGAGCGTGAACGAAATCTGACCTTGGTCTCAAAGCTCTGCCTGACTTTATATCGCCATGGAAGTCTGTGCTCCATCCAGGACGAGCTCAATAGACTCGTCGGGACCAGCTTTTCAAACTGGAGCATCTCTCTTCTCGCCACACGCATAAGGACGTCTCCTCTCGCTCTAGAACGGTCAAAAGTGTGGGGTGACGTTGGCTGCTCTCCCGAAAGCTGCAGCTGTCTAGGCGAAGGCTCGAGCTGGAACGAGAATTGTCAATCTTTCTCAGAAGAGGGTATCTTCGTACCTTAGCATAGCGATCGTCAGACTCATCTAGCAAACTATGTTTAGATGTTCCTTCGGTTGTCCGTGCGTCTTTGTCTGCATTTGCGTCGGACAGACAATCCATTCCTGGAACAGCGAAGTTAGTGTCATTTACACATGGACTGGGCTCGATTTTCCCGTGAATGTCTCCGTCAATCTGCCAGAGAATGAAAGGAAGGCGTTAATACCAACAATTTAAGAAGCTCTACCTCAGGATGCAAATCTGGTTTCTCCGCTGGGTCAGATTCCAGTTTTACGACCATAGATACACTCGAACAAATGGATTTATTGTGTGCGTGATCATCTTGGCGATCTGCTACATAATTACATTGCTGTTCACTCTTGGCTTCACTTGATTGAATGGATACTCTTGCTTCAAGCTCTTTTTGCTGCTGCCGACCTGTATAAACCTTTACGTAAGAAGCTTATACAATCAAAGTAATACTATGCCTTCTATTTTTCGAAGTGAACGGTACTGCAAACGAATGCTTTCGCCGCTATCAACAGTCCTCACGAGGTACCTGTAAAAGAAAGACCCAACGCATTGCGTGCACTTTAAAACAGTAAACAAGTTACCATCCATTCAGGCATTGGGACTTGATTATGGCGGCTTGTCCACAAAAGCGCTCTGGAGTTCGCTTGTTGCCCTTTAAATGAAAACTTCATCAGGAAAACTATAAAATCTGGTATCAAAGCAACAATCACCTGAATGAACACGCGATCATTCACCGAAAATGGGAATTGGACACCTTTGGGCTTCGGTGACGAGTTCAGCTAGAACGCACCAAAAAGTAAAAACTAGCCAGAAGTACTTGAGTTACCTTCTTGCAGTCAGAAGTTCTCTGCTCGCCATTATCTTCCCTTTTCCGTTTAGCGCATCCAGGACTTGCTTTCTGCTCCCGCAAGTATGCTTTTGCAGCTGCACGTAGCGCTGGCAATCGTACGTCTTAGGCCCAATGCAAACACATATCGAACAAAAGCTTTACCAAAATTCGGAGTTAAATATCCTGTTGAAGTGATCGATGCCGCACAAATGAAGCACACACCCTGCCAAAGTTAAACACTTATCAACCAAAAAAGAAGAGCAAACAGAACAGCGAAGACACACCGTCTGGACGACGCGTTTCAATCCATCACTCCCGAAAGAATGACCACATTTAGCAACCATGGCATCCTCTAAGAACGCTCCTCTGCATGCATGAGAAAAGAAAAACTATAGCCAAACGAAGATTATCAGGAGACACGATCACTTACGAGAAAGGATCGCAAAGAACGTCCGGTAGAGAGAGCTGCTTCACATTCTCAATCTCAATGGTATTCACAATCCCTGGACGTTAGATAAATCCATCTAAGATGAAAGAACAAAAGAAGTATCTCTAGTACCTTGTGATCGTGGACGATCGCGAGAGCTCCCATTTCGCCTGGAGTACACGAAACCATTTCCCGATCCACCAATCGAGTTCTCTCCATTCCGGACCCCAGCCATATTCCCATCGTCGCCAGCGCTTCCAGAGCTTCCCATGCTCGCTGGATCGTCAAGAAAAACTACCGTCCAGCAATATTTCGAGCGCTCCAGAGCTGCATTCTTCGCTAGGTCACCGCGATCGACGCGCAGAGCCCTAGAAAACGCAAGCGGAGGCGATCAGCAACCCTTACCAAAGACACCCATCCAAGAAGGCGATAGACGCGATCAAAATCTCATTCGACTCGCAGAATCGTGGCGATGGAGCGACGAGGAGCTTCTCGAGGGGCGCTCCTCCTCCGCCATAGCCGCAAGCTTGAGCGCATTGAACACCCTCGGTATGCTGACGTGTCTAACCTTTGCAACGTGGAGTAGTCATTGCCTGACACGTATATAAACAAAGGACTTTTTTGGCGCCGACGTGGCTTTAGGGTTCTATGGCAAATATTTCGGGGGGGCGAAAGCGCGCAGCGATTCTTCTCCTCCGATTTCCATTAGGCTTGATTGCCTGCTCGATCCAGCGTGCCAGCGGCGGCGCAACAAGCAGGGTAATCTCCAGCAATCCGGCGCTAGATCCATCCCAATCTCTCCAGGAATGAGCGATCCAAGCGCGCGCGGCAGCAGCAGCGACGGCGATGGAGGCCAGGAAACCCTACCCGGTGGCGGCATCCGACTACAGGGTCCTGGAGGAGATCGGGCACGGCAGGAACGCGACGGTCCACCGCGCGCTGTGCGTGCCGCGCGGCGAGATCGTCTCCATCAAGAGCATCGACCTGGAGAAGTGCCGCAGCGATCTTGACGAGGTACGCCGCGAGGCCCAGACACTGAGCCTCATCGACCACCCTAACGTGGTGGCGGCGCTCGCGCTCTTCATCGTCGGCCAGCGCCTGTGGGTGGTGATGCCGTACATGGCCGCCGGCTCCTGCCTGACCATCATGCGCGTGGCCCGGCCGTACGGCCTGGATGAGCTGCTCGTCGCCACCGTGCTCAGGGAGTGCCTCAAGGCGCTCGACTATCTCCACTTCCACGGCCACATCCACAGGGACGTCAAGGCCGGGAACATCCTCGTCGATCAGCACGGCGGCGTCAAGCTGGGCGATTTCGGGGTCTCGGCCTGCCTCTTCGATTGCTACAACCGGCAGATCGCGAGGAGGACCACCTTTGCTGGCACTCCGTGCTGGATGGCGCCCGAGGTGCTGGATCCGGTTTGCGGCTACGACTGTAGCGCGGATATATGGTCGCTGGGGATCACCGCGCTGGAGCTCGCGCAGGGCCACGCTCCACTCTCGGATCTTCCGCCCATGAAGATGGTGCTGGTGGAGCTCTCCAGTCCGCCGCCGACGCTGGAGCCCGAGAGAGCGAAAGTTTTCTCCAAGAGTTTCAAGGATTTTGTGGCGTGCTGCCTCCAGAAGGAGGCGAGCAAGCGGCCCACGGCCGGGAAGCTGCTCAAGCATGGATTTTTCAAGCACGCCCAGAGCGGCGAGTACCTGGTGGAGCATCTCTTGCGAGAGCTCCCGCCGCTGTGGGAGCAAGTGAGGGAGCTGAGGAACAGGGATGTGGCCGAGCTCGGGAAGAAGATCTCGCTGCCAGAAGGCGAGCAGCAGAAGCAGCAGGAAGTCGTGAGCGAGTGGAATTTTTGCGTTGCGGATTCGTCGTCGAGTTCGTCAACTTCTGGCAAAGGAGAAGCCAAGCCCGAGGAAGAGGAGAAGAAATGAAGAAAACTTACCACAGAACTTAAAATATGAGATTTTTCACTGCGATATAGTAAAAAGTTTCATCTCCATCGCAAGTTCCCACTCCATCGCTCGAAACTCTCCGAGCAAAAAAGGTCAATGAAAGTCAAATAAGTCAATGAATGGTCAAGATAGTAAATGAAAGAGCTTGAAGAACCCTAGAAATGCGACATGGAGGATGGCGTTCTCTCACCGTAAGCGCTTCTCTCTCACTCTCTCGCTCGTTCTCTCTGATGAGATCGTCCCTACAGGCCATTGCGGCGATTCCTGGTGTGGATGGCGAGGAATGGGATCCAGTACAGCGACGCGCTGCGTTTTGGCATGGATGGAGTGGTTTCTGGGGCTGGAGTGAGGGCATTGCGCGATCTCCACCACGGCGAGCTCATCGCGACCATTCCCAAGGCCGCTTGCCTCACGCTGCTCACCACCGCCGCGCGCGACGCGATCGAGAGGGCGCGGCTTGGAGGTGGATTGGGGCTCACTGTGGCGCTCATGTACGAGCGCAGCAAAGGGAAGGGGTCGAAGTGGTATAGGTATTTGAAGACTCTTCCTCGCCAGGAAAGCGTCCCATTCTTGTGGAGTGAGGAAGAGATCGATGGATTGTTGCTCGGGACCGAGCTCCACAAGGTAGAAATCTTTTTCTTCTTGTTCTTCTTGACGAGAGTTTTGCTCCTTTGTTTTTCTTTCACAGGCATTGAAAGAAGATAAGCTTCTCATGAAGGAAGACTGGGAAGAAAACATAGCTCCGCTAACCAAAGAGGATCCTCTCGAGTTTCCAGCACAGGATTTTACGTTCGAATCCTACCTTGCAGCAAAATCCCTGGTTTCTTCTCGCTCTTTCGAGATCGATGCCGAGCATGGCTATGGCATGGTGCCTCTAGCGGATCTGTAAGTGTAAGTTGGTTTATATGTTTCTCTTTTTCCATCTCTCTTGTTGATCTCCTAACGCTGGATTTTCCTTTTCTTCCAGCTTCAATCATAAAACCGATGCTGAGGACGTGCATTTCATGCTGAACGCCAGTGACAGTGACGACGACGACAATGGTTTGATCATTGACGATGGATTGGCAAACGGTGACTGTCGTGAAATCTCTAGTGATAAAAGCGTGCTGGAAATGGTGATGGTGAAAGACGTAGCAGCTGGCTCGGAAGTAAGTGCAAAAAAGAAAAAACTTTTGTTCTGACTTGTTTTGTCTCTCCAGATTTTCAACACCTATGGACAGTTGGGCAATGCCGCGCTGCTTCACAGATATGGATTCACAGAGCCAAACAATCCTCACGACATAGTGAACTTGGACATGGACTGCGTGCTCGAGGTACTTCTCTCCCGCTTCCAGAAGAAACGCGTCCGCAAGCGGGGAAGAGTGTGGAGAAAAGCTGGTTTCTCCGGCTGTGAATCCCAAGGCAGTGAGTACTTTGAGATCAGTGCTTCTGGGAAGCCACAGATCGAGCTGCTGCTGCTGCTGTTTGTGATCCAGTCTCGGGCACGGGATTGCAAAGCTCTCGAAGATGCTGCTGCCAAAGTGAAAGGAAGGGTGAAGAAGGCTACCAAAGCTCTCGGGTGGCGCAAAGAAACTCATTGTCATCCAACCAAGAAGCGGAGGTTAGAGAGTGTGGAAAGCAGATTGGAACGGTGGCTACTCAACTCCACAGTGATCAATCTGTTGTTACTCGTGATTGGCAAGCGAGACGAGCTATATGGTATCACTTTTGGTAAAGAAGAGCAAGCCCTTGGCGAGTGTAGACAGCATACCAAGGAGCTCCATGCTGCTCGGCTGAGAATAGGGGAGCGAAGGATTCTACGTGACTGCAAGCAAGAGTTACTAAACATGAAAGCAAATCAATGCTGACAAAGATTAAAAATCTTTTGCTAACTAGGCAATCATGGGAACATCTTGCAGCAGAATTAATTATTTTAATTCTGACAATTGACAGAAGACATTGACAGTGAAAACTTAGAATAATTGTCAATATCTGTGCTCTTAAGAGCAAAATATCTCCAAGTTTATAAATGATTTTAGCATCTTAGGAGATTCTATTAAACATAAAGAATTTGACACATTCAATTGGAATCGACCGGTTTATAGATTTATTATATATAAATAATTACTGCTAGATTAATATTTCTATACAAGCCAACAAAAAAGTTGATCTTATGTAACACATAATACTCCAAAAATACAAGCTCAAAAACATAGCAACAGATAAGAGGTGAATTACATGCCCACCTACCTGTATCTAAATCATATGAAATTCGTAATATTCCAACTTGTGCAACATAATTCCCTAAAAATTCAACAGGTTATGCGCTTGACCAGCAAACTTGAGATACAACGGCAAATCTCTCACCACCGCAATCTCATCATCACCCGTCTTGGCACAAATCTCCTTAACCACAAACATATTGCATTTGCTATCCACCAACACCACGTAGAGCTTTCCCTTCCAGCTCGCCAGGCGGACGGGCTGACGGTCCGAGAGATAGAGACCGAGATCGTTGTACGTGATCGTGTTGCTTGCCACAACCTTGAACTCCTGCCCGCCAGTGGCCAAGAGGAACACCCTCCATAAGGAGTCCCCCATGTCCAAGTAGGGGATCTCCTCCCACCGGTTGACAAAGGGATTCCCAACGTAGAGCTTTCTAAGCTTTTGTGGTGCGAGTGACCACAAGGCGATGGTCTTGGGAGACGGCGCACAGCAACTTGGCACCGCGAGGATCCCAGCGCATCATCTTGCCACTGCTGTCCTGGATTCTATTCCACTCGTAGTAGAACCTAACGCTCTCCCTGTAGGAGCTCGGCACACGCATCTGGAGATGAGGACGGCCAAGTAGTTGTCCCACCAGCTCGGACGCCATACCCTTGCTTGAAATAAACCTAAACTTGTTTTAAAAGTTTAGATAATTATGATGAGAAAATATTTCAGATCAAGCCTTTGGACCATTTCAAAACTCTGAATTTTATATAGTACCCTAAAACTAATAAAATGCTTCAAAGTTAATTAAAGTCTAACTCATTAGCTTCTAGTCAGATAGATTTTGATAAATTTTATATATATGTGAATAACCTATATATATATATATATATATATATATATATCATCTATATATATTACCTTTAAAAATAACCAACTCTTAAAGGCCTTATCATAACAATAATAAAAAGATTCCACCAGTCAGACATTAAATGTTAAAGCGAAGAATGGTCTAAAGCAATTCACATTTCCAGCGTGATTAGCTCTTTCGAGGTTTGAGAAAAATCTGGCTCGAATCAGCTTGGAAAAGGCACAGACATCTACGTGTTACTTCCACTAGCAGTGAGTTTGGTCTACTTGCTGACGGCCCGAGCAATGAGGAAAGCAGCGGCGGAGGCGAGCGCACCTATACACGTCGTTTGCAGCGCACTGCTAAAAGGCCTCGACCCCGTGAAGAGCCCCTTGACGTAGCCAAACACGAACAGCGCCAGCAGCGTCACGCCCACGGATACCTTGAGTGCCATAAACACTTCCGAGAGTAGCATGTAAGGGAGGAGCGGGATCATCCCTCCCACCACGTACGCCAGCGAGATGGTCGCCGCGCTCCTCATGGCTCTGCCTGGCTCCGGCCTCTCCAATCCCAGCTCGAATCTACGCAAAGAGGTAAAGTTGTGTGAGTCTTACATGAACTTGGAAGAATGGGATCAGTCAATCTAGTTGCTGTTGGTTTCTGGAGAGGATGGAATGGTAGGGGATCGCTATCGCTATGGAGGAATGAGTAATCTCGAGGAGATTTGTGGAGCTAACTGAAGTTCTAGTTGCTGGGAAGATCAACAGGACTGCTCTGGCTGGAACTTGGAAGAGAGAAAGCAACAAGAAAAGAGAGGAAGAGATCGCTGAGTACCTCATCATAAAATCCACCCATGCGTCCCGGCGCTTCCTCAGCGCTGCCACGACTGGCTCGTATTCGCTTTGCATGAGACCAAAATTTGCTAGAATCTCCGCAACTTCTTCGGCTTCTGGAAAAACCAGAAGAGAAAAGCAAAAGCGAGAAATCTGTGTCAAAGTCTATACGGAAGGAAAAGTGTATAGAATAGAATACCTGTCTCAGGAGAGCGCTCGATCTCTTCCTCTTCCCTTTTTCTCTCTTTCTCATAGTGATCGGCCTCGCTCTTGGCAGCCAAGTACCTGCGACAAAGAAGAAGAGCAAGCAAACATTAGCTCCATAGAATCCAAGGAAAAGAAAGATATTTCGATCGATCATACCCCCCCAATCCCATGGCGATCGCTCCAGCCGCGACCTCCGCGAGCCCCGCCGTGACGACAACGAGCGACGGGACGCTGGCGCCCGATAATCCAGCCGCCAGCGCGAAAGGCACCGTCAATCCATCCGACGCGCCCATCACCGCGTCGCGGACGATCTCCCCGGCCATGAAATGCCGCTCCACATGCTCGCCGCCATCGGAGCTGGAATCACCATCGCCGCCGTGATCCCTCGGCCTGTGCTTGTCATCGCGATCCAAAAGCCCCGCCTCTAGGGCGCCGTCCACGGCGGGTCTGGTAACATTCGGCGCCATCGATCTGCCCTAGCGATCGATCGATCGGTCACTCGATGAAGAGAAAGAGAGATCGCGAGAAAAGTGAGCAAGGAAAATCACACACGACCACAAGAATGCGTGTCACTATATAAACCCCAGAATAGGGCTGGCGTGGCGGCACGGATGTGGTCCAGGGCGTGTGCCGGGCACTGGCATCCAAAGGCGGTGAAGGCTCCACGTGGCCTAGTGGGCCCAAAGGCGCGTGGCGGCCACACTAGGTCCACAGTACTACCAAGAATAAAACGCCAAAAGAATGCCACGAAACGAGAGAACCTTCCCACACTTAGAAAACTTATTTTTTCCAAGCCTCGAGACACGAAAAACTTCGAGGAAGAAACTTCCAAACATTTCGCTGCCGAGAGCTTGGTGACAAATCCATGCGTCAACTTCGCAACTTTTTCGTCGCTTTCTTTTTTGTTCTTGCTTTGCTCTCGTCGCTATGGCTATGGCTGGCAGCGAATTTGCACTGCACGCTCCACGAAACAATGGAGGGAAGAAAGTGCGTGCTTGTGCTGCAAACGAGGAGGACCATCTGTCTGGATCGAGCCGGCCTCGCAACTTTCGCCTGTTTGATTCTCTCGCCTGGCCCGTTACGCTCGATCGAGAGAGAGCTTTTGTTTAAGGACGCTTCTTTGTCCCGCGAGATCTTTGTCGTCGAGCTTGCTTTCGAGCTTATCTTCAAGCACTCGTCGCGCAGCACTTAGCAGTGGGCAGTGGTGGCACGATTCGATTCGAAAAGGCCCACTCTACTGCGAGCTATACGAGCCAGGCTTTTGAGCAAGACCGGGAATACATTAGATCGAACTTTGCTTGAATGTTACCTCCTCGGTATGTCGAAAGAAACACACATTATTTGTCCAAAACAGTACGAGTGCTTTGATCCTTTTCTTCTTGTCGATGCCCAGAGGACTAGATCGCGCGAGTGTATGGAACGTCGGATCCCAAGGCTTCGCGTTCCTTGCGCTCGGCTCTCACCTGTGTTTCCAAGGAAAGAAGAAAAGAAAAAAGAAAGTTAGAACAAACAAGTAAAACGATAACGAGAAAACAATTCCAAGAGCTTTTCGACGCATATAAAAACAAAGGAAAGGAAGGATACCTGTTGGAGCTGATCCTGCACGTATGGCAGGAATGGAGTTTGCTTCGCCTGAAAGAAACAAAGAAAGAGAGCTAAGCTTCGGCTCCTCGAAAAAATCCTTTTTTCTCTTCGAGAATACCTGCATTTCCTTGGAGAGGTGAGTGTGCTTCATCGAGAGGTCCATGGCGCGCTTGAGCCGCTGGTTTCGCAAGTCCAGCTCGTGCTGTGGGAGGCGGCTCAATGCCTCCTCCAGGTCTGGATCCCCCATTGGATCCAGCAGGTCCTCGTATCTCAGCCCTAGAAGCAGGAGCACAACTAAGAACCGAAAAGAAAAAAGGAAAAGCTGCGGTCAAGAACACAGCCGCCATTCCTTGACAAGGGTTTCGATTTTCTAGGCGCTTACCGAATTTCCTGAGCTCCTTCTCCACATTGGCCTTGTAGCGCCTGGCGAAATAGTTGAAAGTCGGCCCAAGCAGCGTCTTCGCGAGCCCCATCGCGTGCCCTCCAGAGAATTAGGGCTCGTGTTCTGTTTGACAGAATATACTCGCTTCAGAGGCATATTCTGCTTGCAATTTAGAAGAATGTTCTTAGAATATCCTAGAAGAACTTTATGTCCTCCTAGGCTTGAAGTTCACTAGCCAGTTACCATTTTAGCCTGGCCTCTCCAGCAAACCTCTCAAAAATTGTGTGAAACATGAATTGAAAATTTCCACCAAGAATCAGTAAGACCTCTCAAAAACAAGCCAACCTATGGTCTAAATTTTTGCAATTTATGCACTCAATTGGTAAGGTGTAAATTCCAACCATGATTAATAATTAATTTATATATATATATACACTAGTCAGAAATTACAACTTAAAATTAAAAATAAATAAAATATATTACAGTACCATTACCATTTATGATATCATTTTACCATAACCATTATCATATTATATTTTTGTTTATAACACAAGAAATTATGATCTAACTCAACTTTGCATAGTGTAGTTGAATCAGAGTTTATTTCTGGTTGCTATAGCAAAGTTGAAATTGTTACTAAGAGAGATAGAATTTTTAATAGTCTTAAAACTTTTATTTTTCTATTTTGTTAGCTAAAATTTTACTCTTTCCCAACTTTTTCTTATTTCTCAGCTTGAGTTGCCTTTTCATATTTCTAATATTCCTTCTTCATCTGAAATATATCCTTCTCTTGGCACATTAATCATTTCTAATTTTTAGGATTCTTATTCTCAATCCAGTGTTGAGTTGATTGTTTTCTATTATTCTCATACTAATTTGGATGTTAAGCATGTAACATGAAGTTGAGAATCTAGTGAAGTCTTTGATCAATTCTAATATTGATTCCAAGGGTTCAATTACTTTAGCTAAAGTTTCAAATTAAATGCATATCCCTAGTTATGAGTGCTGTTAAAAGCTTTTATTTTATCATTACTGCTAAGGGATTTATGTGTTCACTTGAGTATATAGACTTTTCTATTAATTTTCCTTATATCAAATGTTAAATTGTGTGTTAAGGAGGTTGAGTAATATGAATCTCTTGCTTATTTTATGCTAGCTGAAGTATTTTATCATAGAAGATCCTTTGTTTTCCAAGCTTTGAATATATTTCTTTCTTTTCTTCCCATTTCTATTTTAATAATTGCTAAAAATTCCTCTTTCAATACTTCTTTGTCCATTTTTTCTTCTTCCATAATGTTTCTTCTTCCCTTTTCTTGTTTTCTCCTTTTTGCTTTGACATTTTAAACTTTTTTTTCTTCAGAAGAGGGGGTAAAGGGGATGGATGGGAGTTTGGTCATGATGATAGAGTGAGGACAAATAGATACAATAGTGGAGCAAAGATAAATGATATAAATTATGGAGTGAGGATGAATATTGCAAATTAAAATGGAATATTTAGCCTTAATGTAATGAGGTTGAATGGATATAATAGTGGAATGAGGCCGAACAATGAGGACGAGTATAATGAGTTCGAATGGAGTCGATGCTTTAAAATTTATTTTCATTTTAAGGGGGGATAAAAAGGATATAAAGGATAAATGGTGTGAGTTCAACCTTTTATATGTGGTACTAAACAAAGACGAAAGTCATAAGTCCAAGTTAATATAGGTTTTAAATTTTTACCAAAGGGAAAATGTAGAGGTAAGTTTTACTTATGGTCGTAAA